TATATATTTATACTTCTTATAATATTAATTACTATTACTACTTCCTTATTTACTATTAATATATATATACTTTTAAGTACCCCTTATACTTAAATCTTAACTTAAGTTATAGTTACTCTTACTATTAGTACTCCTCTAAATCTTATAATTAATAACTTATTTTATATTATTATAAGTAATTAGAAGTATATAATTAAAAAGTAGTTATTATAGAAGTAAAGTAGAGGTTAATTAAGCTAGATTTAGTATTATAGTTACTTTCTTATTAAGGTTATATAGAGTAAAGTTAGTACCTCCTTCTAAAGTTACTAGTAATATAATATAAAAAGAGCTTTATAACTATTTAGTACTCTTATTACTACTACTAAATAAGAATACTTATTTTAGTATATTATTTTAAGTTTTTAGATTATTTAAATTATACTTTAATAATACTAAAGTAGCTATAATATCTATAAGATCTCTCCTCTATTAAATAAAGACTTTAATAGTATTATTTTTACTCCCTTAACTCTTATATTAATACTATCTCTATATAAAAAACTTCACTTTATTAATATTAATATCCTAAAAACTAAGATTATAATCCTTAAAGATCTCTATATTACTTCTATTATCTCTATTAATCTACTATTTACTTACTTTAAGAATATTTTCTTTTAGTAGATCTTTTAGTACTATAATATAGAAGTTATTAATAAGGTCTTATAAAACTAAAGCTCTATTTAAAACTAGTTTTAAGACTTTTTCTAATATAGTAAAACTTTTATAATAGCTAAACTCTACTTAATAATATTAAAGATATATTTATTATTTAATTTATAATCCTTATTTAATATTTATATCTTTATAGTAGTTACTAATTACTTTATTAATAATAAGGGTACTTTATAGTTATATTTTCTAGTTTTCCCTTAATATTATAAAAACTATAGTAGTAAAAGCTTTATAGAGACTCTTATTAGTATTATTAATTAATACTAGATTTAGAACTATATTAGAATAATAGTTATTAATAATACTATAAATAATAATACTTACCTCTAAGTTTTCTATTAATAAATTAACTTAGAGATAATAGAGATAGATATTTAAGCTTAATATATATAGTACTATAGCTATATCTTTAATTTTATAACTTAAACTTTCTTATTTAGTAAGAACTAGAGGACTCTTAAGGCTAAATTAGATTACTATTAGTTTATAGAGTAATATAATAAGGATATAAAGGTATAGTAGTATTTTAGGTTTATTAACTAGTTTTAGAATATTATTAAGTTTATATAAACTTCTCTATAATAGATAGAATAATACTAGAAAGTAGTAGTAGAGATTAATAATAGCTCTAACTTCTAGATCTTCTCTAAGTTATACTAAGAGATTTAGTTTATACTAAATAATAATACCTATTAGAATAATATATATCTAATAATTAAGAGGGCTATAAAAAAAAAGTAGAGATTTAAGCTTTCTTATTAGTTAATAATAATAATAATAATATTAAGTAATATATATTAGAGTTAAACCTATTCTCTATTAATAATTAGAAGGTTCTTATTAAGATTTTAATAATCCTTAAGTTTTTCTATTACTAAATAAAGTAGTATAAAGGCTAAGGTATTAATAATAGGTATAGCTAATTCTAAGAGGTTATAATAAGTATTAAATACCTTCTCTTATATCTTATTAACTAAAAGATATATTATAATATTAGTATTAATCCTAAGGTTAATAATAATAATAAGAATACCTCCTAGCTATTATAGCTATCTTAAAAGTATATTAGCTAAGCTTAATACTATTAGTATAATATCTAAGCCTTATTTACCTATATATAGAAAGATTAGGTATTATTAGTCTTATAATCTACTTTATAATTTAAGATTCTTAATAAGAAGTAGTAGACTTTCTTCTATAATAGTATTAAGTAAGTATAATAGAAGCTTTTTAATTATTATAAGTTTCTTAGAGAGTTACTACTATTCTCTAATATAATTATTTTATACTTATTATATAATATCTTATATTTAAGAGATATATAGAGTAAAGATTACTAAAAGGGATAGATTAAGAAAGCTCTAAATACCTTTATAGAGTATTTTAATTAGTAATATTATTAACTTAATAAGATCTTACTATTAAACTAATAAGTTAGTATACTTCTTATTAATCTTAATACTAAAGATATAGAGGATATTTACTACTAGTAATAGGTTAATAGCTAATACTATTAAATACTACCTTAGATAGATAAGTTTAATCTCTACTTTTATTAGTTTCTAGAAATTACTTCTAACCTAATATAGTAATAAATAAATTATATAGAAACTTTCCTAAAGTTCTCTTAATTTACTATTAATATCTCTACTATATTAGTAATAGTAGCTAATTATAAGAGAGCTTTTAGTACTACTAAGTTAAGCCTCTTATTATAGAGGTTCTTAATAATATTAGATATTATAGAGACCTTCTAACTAAATAAGAACTAACTAAAGAGGGGGGTAATAATACCTTAGAATTATTTTAGACTATTAGGGGTATTATAACTTTATTTACTTATTACCTAATTAGGAAGTAGTAATAATATTATTTACTATAGTATTTAACTTACTATACTTATGAGTTAGTTAATAATTAAAGCCTAGGAAAAAGATTACTAAGTTAATAAGTATAGGGGGCAAAATTGACTTAATTGCACTTGCGGTAGCGCTGGTTAGGGCAGTCTCGAAGGCCATGGAGAATGATATCGACAGTGTTCTGTACGCCGACGGAGACGTTCTGATCGAAGCTGGCCGGATAGATGATGGACTGAGTAGTGATCTCGGTGCTGTTCGCGATTATGCGTTCTATGGCAATTTGAAATGACAGAGAGACACCTTGAGGCTCACCAGACCCTCGCGCATCGAGAATCACTTGATGATGCCGTCAGCAATCATGGAAGCTTGATTTGATTTCCTCACTCACTATAAGAAGTACAATTTTGAACCGATTGGGCACTGCTGATGTTGACGCGACGTATCGCGAGAAAGCTTGGATCACCACAGCGACAGGAGCCCTGGGCGCGAGCCGAACTCGCAATGCCCAAGACGGCAGCGACGATGAAAGTAAATAAAGTTGCTAAACGTAGCATTTTGAAATTGGCTACAGATTCTGGAGCAACAGAATCAATTGCCAAAGAAGATGTTTCTCGTCAGAGTCGACGCTTGTTTCCCCTTGTGCGATGTTAAATCCTTTACATAGCCACATCTTTACGGTATACGGCTGGGCTTTTCCAAATGTACGGGTTTAAATTAAGATAGCCGCCGGGATACGCGTATACAGACATATCTGGGGCTATACGAGGAAAACGTCCAGAGATAGACTTGCATAATTGCTGAAGGGTCAGCTACCTTATCCTTGGGCTACCCGCCTTTTTTGCGACATTGTCATTCACCGCGGGAATAGAATTCCGAGAAATCCTCGACTGGGCGCTCTGGACAGACATTTTATACAACAAGGGCACGATGGAACTAGGGAATGAAATTCAAATAATGATTGACAAATGAAAACACAATACTGAGTGTAGCCTCTAGTTGTAGACTATGATTTAAGCTCCCCCGTTGGAGAGATTCCGGCGCTCTCTCAAATCTCCGTGTTGCCAAGAGATGAAATCATAGTAACCATAGGTACCCTGGTTCCTCTTCTTCGTGAGTCCCAAGACTTGTCTCTTGGATGCCACCCTTGTGGATAACATGTCGCCGATGAAGTTGGTGACTTGCTGAGTGGCGTACGCCGCACCTCTGACGGGGGCAGTGACTGCGGTGCCGACGGCCTTGGTGACGCGTCCGATGCGCGCAAAGGTGCGTCCGAAAAATCCAGGCTGGGGCTTGTTGGCGTCTTTCTCAGACTTCGAGTTTGCGCTTTTAGCGCGTCTTCTTTGCTCCATCTCAACCTCATCCTTCGTCGTCCTAATGTAGAGACGCTCCCACATGCCGATCTGCTCCTCGTGGAGGGTCATGTTGCGCTTTGTGTTGACCCAAACCCACCTCTCCCCATCGTCAACCTTCCTGACCTCACCTCCATTAACCATCGGGTCCATTTCTTTCCAGACCCATCTCTCCCCATGCTCGTCTTTGCTCAATTCTCCTCCCGCAGGAAGTTCCTGCCAAACCCACTTTCCATGCTCATGGTTAGGCTGGCGCAGGGTTTCCCAGATCCAGCCTTCAGTGCGCTCGGGCTGGTAGAGGTCCTCCTCAAATGGCATCTGCTTTGGCACCACCATGGAGTCTTCGATAGGCATACCTCCGTGAATAGAGGACACATCGCCAGTCAGTGTCTTGTAGGTGAATCCGTAAGTCGGTCCAGGTCGTTTGGCCCACTCTGGTCGGTCTGTTGCCGCCCGACGAATCTCAAACCCATTCTCGATCGAGGTCAGTGCAGGACACGTCCATTCACTCTTGTCGGTCAGGTCGTTGCCTTTATATACGTAGCGAATGCGAACCGATGGATGAATGAGTTCATGAGTTTCCCCGAGGGCATCACCTTTCTGAGAAGTGTACAGGCCGGGCGTGCGGCTTCCCTTTTGGGTGTTATATCCCATGAAGGAGTTGACGGGGGACTTCACTGCATCGTACACCTTGTCAGGCACACTCGTGAATCCCCCGGGACTGGTGATGATAGCCATGCCCCATTGCCGAGGCTCGTTCTTGAAGCCCACCGATCGGAAGACGCGAACCATCTCCTCGGGAACAAACTCCACGCCGATAGATGAGAGTTGATCCGCCATCCCTAAATAATAGTTAGTTTTCAATCCCAACCATTGGACATGTCAAATACTGGAAGATGACTTACATGCAAGCGAGACCAGAGGGTTACGGTTATCCTCGGTTCCTCCACCGACATCGCTATGAGTTCCTGGAAACCACACCTGGCGAAGATGGGTTGTCTTGTTTCCCTCGGCCTTGCCCCATAAGGTGGGCTTGAAAGTGGTTCGCCACTCATCCAATGCAAGTGCATGGAATGCATAGTCAACCCTGTCCGAGATGTTGCGGCTAGCAAAGCGCAACTAACATGACAAGTCAGCTACTGAGAAGGCGACGTCGCGTCGCTTTTGAGTCTAAAGACTTTGAAGCAAAAGCCAGACTACTTGACTCACCTCTCTGGGGTCACGTCCAGGCCGGACGATATCCAGACGCCATGGCATCTTGGGATAACCGAGGCTACCAACCGTGTCCCAGACGCCTGAAATTCGCAAAACTGTTAGCCGAAGAAACTGCATGGCGACATGGTTCTGCGTTCTGAACATTACTCACCCACGGCCTTGACTCTTACGACTTCGGGGGCCCACTTGCCGTCCTCTCCTTGCACACAGTGAATCATTCTGAACTGTTTCTTCGTCAGTCGTGGTTCCAGGGTAGTTGGCAACCTCTTGCTCCACATGAAGCGGGAACACCACTTACGCCTTTGAGGTAATCCCGATACTTGTTCACCATCTTGCGCACCTTGACTTCCACTGACCTCTCTGTCTGTCTGTTGTGTTCGTACCCTATCATCTTGAGGCGGTTGAAGCGCTGCTTGTTCTTCTCGTAGTTGGACTTCTCAACGTCCTTGATGTCCTTTCCGTCGAAGTACCCAAACCTGTCAACCCAGTCTTCTTTCTCATCTTCAGCCTCATCTTTGGCCGCCATTTGCCGATGCAAGTCATTGGTCAGGTTGAAGGCCTTCAGATGCTTCTTCTCGTCATAGGCAGCAAATTTGGTCCAGTTGGGGAAGTCTTGATAATCGTCGAAGATGGCTCCGAAGTTGCTCAGGCCAAAGCTGTTGAGAAGCCCAATGGAACACACCATCCCAGAAACGGATCGAGCAGTAAAGGCCCCGCGAGAGAAACCCACAATCACAATTTCGTCGCCCGGGCTGTAGTTCTCACAAATGAACCGATAGCAGTCCTTGATGTCCTGCAGATTTACGAGTCAGTCTCTGGCAGGTGTGCATAGCGGAATCTCGTTTCGCAAGATTACTTACCGTCAGGACGCCAGTGCCAAAAGCTCCGCCAATGGTCCTAGCTGCAAGGGACTCTTCTGTGCCGACTCCGCGGTGATAGTAGACGACTTGTGGCATGCCGGTGCAGCATTTTTGCGCAATTGCGGTGGAGAGTCTGCTGACATTCGTCGTGTAGCCATTTGATCCATTGCTTCGTACGTTCGGCGCTGTCAGTGGGGTTGTTCCCCGTGAAAGGAGCCAAGAGGGCTCTTGAAGTACGCTAGGGGTAGCTTACGAGTCGTTCCATGTGCCATCACAGCACACGATCAACCGCTTCTTGTGGGTTCCCGACTTTGTGGGATTATGAGCGCACACGTGCTCAGTAATTGGGTAGTGACAAGACATGATAAGATAATTGCTTGGTGATTCGGCCTCGTAGGTTAGAAGGCCACACAACTGACGGAAATCAGACTGTTAAGCGAGTTTGGAAGATGCCCTCCGGCTGTTGTTATACGAGCCTAGCCATCACATGTAAATCAGCAACATCAAAAGATCGGTGACCAATCTGAAGCTTTGTCTGAGACAGTCGCATAAGTTCTGCCGAGCAAGATGCACTAGTTCCCCGGATAATGCGGAGGAGAGAGATCAACTACCTATCCCCATATTTCGGCTGGAGGAATTTGACCACATTAGGCATTCAATGGCACGAAAGGTGTCTTTCCAAATGCGGACATATTCATCAGGAATTCGGAGTCTGATTCGGCACTTCATCCCGAGATGGCTAGTCGCTTCATGTCGAAAATGACCAAGTCTTGTTCGAACCGCCCTGATTCTGAAGGAACATGTCATCCATTTAAATACGAGGGCTCGAATTTCACTTCTTGTCCCTATAATGAAGCTTCGAAGAACGTTCTTAGACTCGTCTTCCTACCTATGAGAGTAGGTTTCATCGGTGACATCACTATCATATTCATAGTCCGTTTCCAAATGGTCTTGTGTCCTAGGCGCAGGCACGACCCCACCGAACTTTGACTGAAAGCATCTACGTCACTATCCACGTTTAATACCGGTCGTAGTACCGTTGCCTGTTTAAGTCAAAGTGTGTTTCACAAAGCTGGGGCAGCTGAACGCTTCGTGCCGTTGCGGGAATCTCCATGTCTCAGTCGTAAACCAAACGATGTCTCGGACGGGTCAGATATTCCCTCAAAAGGCCAAGACGGCATGCAATGATCTACACAATCTCCTTGAATGACGATATATGAATTGCTGAGAGACAACTAAGATATGTCAAAAGAGATCGGCGGAAGGTTTGAGTAGTTTCGGGAGCTAAAACGCTTGCGACCGTGGAATCTTTCTGTTTCATAACTTCTTCTGACTTATGTTGTTTGCTGATTCAAAGGTCTTGGAACGTGCGAAGGATGGAGTCCTTCGTTCTGGCGGCTATTTCCTCAATTTCTGCCGCTGTGCTGGTATATGCGGGAGCAAGCAGAACATGGTCCCCCAAAATTCCATCTTTTGTACCGTTACCTGGGTAGAGGCTGATACCAAATTCATTGAGCCCGTTCAGATGCACCTTATTAGCTATATCATAGGACCGTGAGAATGGCTCCTTGGTCGATTTGTCGGACACAAATTCGATCTAGATCCATCTTAGCAGTCTTCATTTCAAAAAGTGGGAGACGTCATAACCTACTCCCCAAAAGAGGCCTCTTCCTCTGATGTTGCCCACATAAGGATGTTCGTCAAGGTGTTCATGCAGGAGTTTCTCAAGAAGAGCACCTTGTCGTCTGACGTTTTCGATCAGGTTGTCCTCTCGCACGATGCGTTGCACTTCTAAAGCAGCAGCGCATCCAACGGGGTGGCCTTGATAGGTGTGTCCATGGGAGAATGCCCTGTTGAATGTGTGAGTCGATGGCCCTAACCAAAACGGGGCTACCCTTACCCAGTGCCGGTTGTGAGGGCATCGGCAACTCTGTGATTCATCAACAGACCGGCGACAGGGGCATATCCACCACCCAAGCCCTTAGCCATGGTTTGAATATCAGGCGTAACGCCTTCATGCTGCCAGGCATGCAATGTTCCGCAACGACCCATGCCAGACATGACCTCTGTATCGACGTGAATGAAAGCAAGAGCAATCAGAGAGACGTTTACGTACCGTCGAGAATCAGAAGAGCACCGTACTTATCACAAACATTCTTCATCGCCTGGAAGTACCCGGGTACCGAGGGCACACAGCCAAGGGCCTTGATTAATTAGTTAGTTTTGCAGATCTGAACGAAAAGTATGCGATGAAAGCTTACTGCACCAACGACTGGTTCAGCGACGAAAGCGCAGACAGTCTCAGGGCCCATCTCCTGAAACTTGCGGTCCAACTCATCAGCTAGCTGTTCGACGTATTGCTCGACTGTCTGGCCCTCAGTCATGCCGCGATACGCATTGCATGGCGATACTCGACCGATGTTAGGTAGAAGCATGTCTGTAAAGAGACTTCTACGTGCAACGTGGCCGCCAATAGACAGTGAGCCAAGGGTTGTGCCATGGTATGAGTTTTCTCGGGCGATGAACTTGACTCTTTGCGGTTGGCCAATTTCAACGAAGTATTGACGCGCCATCTTCATCGCCGCATCCATAGCCTCCGAACCTGCGTTATTGCGGTTAGAAACAAGCACGAACATAATTCAACGTTGCAAGTCCGTGCATCTTACCGGAACACATGATATATGCCTTTGACATGAGACCATCAGTTCCTCGAATCAGCTCATCCGCCAACTCTTCCCCAATGGGATGCCCAAAGAACATCGAGTTGCAGTAGGCAAACTTGTCCAGCTGCGCAATCATCGCACTCTTAACGCGCTCATTGTTGGATCCAATGCAAGCCACCGCAGCCCCGCAGGTCGTGTCCAAAATGGTCTGGCCATTGGAGAAGGTCAGGTACTTTCCGTTCGCTGAGACTACCTGTGGCGGTGCCGCTTTCAAGCTGCGATGAAGAACAGCACTCTTGTTTGAGGGCATCATCTTCGCGATCGCTGGCTGAAGCTCTGCATCGGTTGCTGCTGTCGCATTGACCGCAGCCCCCGCAGATGAAGTGGTAGACATCCTTGCCACTTGAGCTCGATAGAGCCTCGCTGCCAAGGGCGATGCTTTGCTTCGCAAGGACATCGTGAATATGCTTCCGGAGGTCCTGTGATATGACATTGAGAATGTTATGAATGGTCAAGACGTCGCGTTCGTGAGATTGATGCAAGAGTGTAGGAACTGAGGCCGCAAAGGTCTGAATTCTAGAGTCCGAGGCCTTTATCACGGTCAAAGCTACAACAATGCCGGCCGCTTCTTATCGGGTTAATTTACCTCTCAACGGTTCTCATTGCTACTTGCTGATCACTGACCTCCGATTCGATAAGCACGTCGGTGGCTTATCTGCAGGGCGTATCTGGCGTGTCCCACTGCGGAGTTGATGGGCGGGGTCGTCGGTCTTCTTCCACGTGGGCGAGCATCCGTTCTTCGGCGTGGCAGCGCATCAGGACTTTGCTGCTGATATTCCAAATTATTCAAGGTCTCTTTTCTTCTTCATATGAATACTTCAATCGTGAATTTTTTCTTGGTTTGTCTCATTCAAATGTCGCGTAATTATTGCGAACGCAATTGGGCCCCAAAAAGAGTGTCTCCTGTAATTTACGTTAATTCGAGCAACTAACTTCATTTCCTGTGTGTTTGCTATTGTCGTTCTCGCCATTGATAGCATCATGGCTATCATCTGCTATCATGGTCTCCAGTTTCTGTTATTACTATATAGCCATCATCTTCTGATGACAAGTTGAGTTGACATGTACTGTCTCGAACTAGAACAGAACACCAACTACTTTGCGTGAAGCATGGATATGCTACAACTATCTTGAAAATCACCAGTATCCCACATTTCTTCACAAATTCTTTGTTTTTTCCACCTTCCACACGCTCGCACTGACTAGTTGATTCTTGGCTGCAATATTCTCAGCTAGCTGCGACCTGGGACGGAACGCCTGAATACGGCTGGATGTGCTATCCCTGAAGAAGATGGATAATATTGGGTGGAGGACTGCATGAAAGCCACTGTAATCAATGAGTTCGAGAGAAGGAACCCGGACGTTGAACAGGCTGCACCCCAGAGTATCGACGTCCTTCTGAGGCATTATGCCCGGACCCATCGCAAAGGATCCAGATCCCAACGGTGCACGTAGTTGGTGCCAACGACGGATACGCCCAACAGGGGCTAGTTCTACCACCTCTTTGCGACTTGCATGTCTTTCAGACCATCGTGCACGAGGGTGGTCATGAGTGTCTTGGAAGCGATGAGACGCTTCAACGGGTCGCCGATTTTACGCAAACGGCAGCCGCCCGTACCCTTTACCTCCAGTGATTCGGTTCACTTGGGAATTGGTCCAGACCGAAGCAGGTAATTAACACATCTGTTATCTCTTCTGGCCGTTGTGAAGTCAATCTCTTTCATGTTACCAATAACAGTCCACAAATAGATGTCTAGGTACATGTTTTCCTTCAGGTGTGTGAACCTCAAACTCTACTAGTTCCTTTACACATTAGTTCTTTAGTTCGCAGATCACTAGGTTCTGTTCATTTAACGTGAGAACCAGCAAGGCAATAAGTATACCAGGCATCTTCTCTCTAGCAGACCAGCACTGCTTTCTGTCATATGAGTGATGCTGCTGTGCCCTTCAACAGCAGCTTGTGCCCTTCAATAGGCTTGGAAGTGCTGCCACTTCTCCCTTGTTTGACGTGCCTGTTTCTTGGGGTAATGCACGGCGGCAAATAGGATCAATGGGAAGCAGGAGACTTCTTTCCGTAATTCGTGAAGAACCGGGTGTGTGCAACCGAAATGGGCTCATGTTGGATCACTTTTGATTGTTTGCTTGCGGCACAGTCAGGAGTTTTTCCCGTTAGCCTCGCTACGAAAACACGTCGAAGCGAAGCTGGGGCTGCAATTCTACCCCCAAGGCCGGAAAAGCCACGTCGATCTTTTCTTCCGCAGCCTGCTGTTATTGATGCAGTGTTGGTGCAGAATTTCCGCTCGCCGACCTCTAGGCGATGCGAAAGTTTTGTACGAAAATGTTCAGCCGGCAGCCCTATCACATAATGTGGCTTGCATCTCTCATTGATGAGTACAGGGCCACATAGCCCTTTTCTCCCTTTTACGCTTTTATCGGTACTCTGGTGTTCCCGAGTGAACTACGTCGGACCCTCAGCCCAAAGCGCGTTCAGAATTCCATCATTCCTCTGGATCTACGATCAAAATCAAGAACACGCCCGACCCTCCAAATGGCACAATTAACAGACCCGAAAACTTTACCTGTCATGTCGTATGAACCTCTACAGACCCTTACGGCTCCTCAAACCTCAGCCGATCAGCAAGGCATTGAGAACGATCATGCCGACCCAGCGACACCTTGGAAGACTCAAGGCTGGCGCTTTTGGGCCGTCTTTCCCGGACTCTGTCTCGCTATGCTGTTGACAGGCTTGGATGCATCCATCCTCGCCACGTCGTTGCCAACCATTGTCTCTGACCTTCACGGCGGCGCACTCTACATCTGGACCATGAACGGATACTTCCTCACTACTGCCGTTGTCCAACCATTGATGGGGCAAGCTGCCGACATCTTTGGCAGGAGAATTCCTATGCTCGTGGCTCTATCATTGTTCACACTCGGGAGTGGACTTTGCGGCGAGTCGACTTCTTTACCTATGCTTATTGCCGCGCGCCTCATTCAGGGCTTTGGGGGAGGAGGCCTGTTTGTCATGACGGATACCATCATCGCCGACCTTACCCCTTTGCGCGATCGCATGAAATATTTGTCCATGGTCATGATATTGTTGTATTCATCGTCCCGTCTTCTTGTCTATATTAGGACTATTGCTGATTTGTTCATAGCACCCTAGGCTCCATTCTGGGTCCCATCATCGGCGGTGCTATTGTCGACAACACGACGTGGCGTTGGGTCTTCTATATAAACTTGCCCATTTGCGCGGCCGCCCTCCCCCTTGTCTTCTTCTTCTTACGCGTCAATCACAAACGAGAGGGCACGATTGCTCAACGACCTGGACGAGTGGACTACTCCGGGCAACTTCATTCTCGTATGCGCTGTCGTCTCTATTCTCATCCCGTTGACATGGGGAGGCACTACCTACAGCTGGAAATCATGGCATATCTTGTTGCCCCTTCTGGCAGGGTTTGTTGGGCTTTTATTATTTGGTGTACACCAGGGAAAGTTCGCCCGTGAGCCTATCATGCCTCTTCGGGTCTACAACAACATGTCTTGTGCTTTGGGCTACGGCATTACCTTCTTGCACGGCATCGTCCTCAGCTGGCTCAGCTTCTTTCTTCCAGTATACTTTCAAATTCTCCTCGAGTCCACCCCTCTGCAGTCTGGGGTCAAACTCCTCGCCGTTGTCATCCCTCTTGCCCCGGCTGGAATGGCCGGCGGCATCGCTATAGCTGTAACCGGTCACTGCAAGATGGTCATAGTTGCCGGTTTTGTCCTCCTGTCAATAGCGGTCGGCTGCATGACCACACTGAATGCCAACTCCTCCACCGCCATTTGGATCGCGTTCCAAGTTCTCGCCGGATTGGGCGGCGGTCTCTCCCTGACCGCTACCCTGCCCGCTGTCCAGGCGCCGGTGCCCGAATCAGATGTGGCCATCGCCACCGCCGCATGGGCTTTCGCGCGGTCTTTTGGAGCTATATGGGGTGCCGCCATCCCTTCCGCCGTCTTCAATTCCCGTTTCGACGAGCTTCTCCATCTTATCCCTGAGCCGTCGGTGCGTGACCTGCTCTCCCACGGTGGCGCATACGAGCATGCCATCCGTGTGTTCATTAAGCAGTTTGACGCTCAGCCAGTGCTCAAGGAACAGATCATCCATGTGTATACTGAGTCACTCAAGAGAGTTTGGGCTGTTTTAATTCCGTTTGCTGTTGTTCCTATTGTTCTGGCTCTCTGCATGAAGGAGGTTGAGTTGAGCCAGGAGCTCAAAACCGACTTCGGGCTTAAAGAAACGCCGGAAGATGGGAAGATAAATAATAGAAGTGTTATAGTGAGCTACATATTGAATAATGTGTTCCATTAATAGGATCTAAAGATCAACGCTCTAGGTCGGACTATATATTCCCAAGCGTCACATGCAGCGAACTCGCCCCGCCAAGAAAACAGATGGCCGTTCGGCACAACATGGGCTCCGTGTATCTCAATAACGACGCATCGTCCCGCCTGTGACTATCGAAACTTCCTGGTGGGTGTCTTTTGCCGGAAAAGCTCATCCAGCTCGGAGGTGGTCTTCCTCCCCAGTTCGGGGACCTCAAACCATACCCACGCAAAACTCACAATGCAAAGCCCCGCCCACACAAAAGCTGCCTTGGCTCCTAGATTCGCTATCGCCAAGACTGTCAGCACATGATTCAAGCAAAGTCTCAAGATGAGGTTTGTAAGCACGCACCGCTGTCAGTGTTGATGAGATAGGGCGTTACAAAACCCATAGCCCAGCTGATGATGGCGTTGCTGAACATGGCTACGCCCTGCGTACGCGCCCGGAGTCTCTGGGAGCTGGCCTCAGCACTGACCGCCCAGGTCGTGGCACCGATGGTCGGCGCGTAGACAATCTGCGCAAAGCTCATAAGGTATCCTATAATGTATAGAGAGGTGGAGGAGGTAAAACATCCCGCAATGCCCACCGTCGTGAGTAGCATGAAATTGAGGACGGTGCCAACGAGCAAAAGGGTTCGTCGACCTGGTGTTTTTAGGTGTCAGCTGAAATCACCGCGACAGTATTCTTGACTTGGGTTCACCATACCGACGTAGTTCAGGATGAACCAGGACACAATATTCCCAAACATGGCTAGCCCAAACCCGCCGAGCGCAAGCTTGAACGTCAAGCTCACCGGCAATCCCGTGATGCCCAAAAAGTACAACGCCTGCGCGTAAAATGCAATGCCAGTAAACTGTTGCACGAAGAACATGCCGCATGCAATTCTAGTGCGCCGGAAGTTTGTTTCTTTGAAGCAGTCCGCATACTTCGCCCCATCTTGTAGACGGACCATCTCATTTTCCTCCGTAATAGCACTCCGAATCAACTCTAGTGCAGCCTCGGCACGTTTCGCGTTGCGAGGATAGAGCTTACGAAAAGCATTCTTCGTGTCTTCCTCACGCTGGCTGCGGAGGAGAAACCAGGGGCTTTCGGGCATGACAGCCGTGTAGAAAACCAAGAAGCACGGGAACGCCCACTGCGCGGCAAAAAGAACTTTGTAAGAGGCAGGCGAGAGGATAGAGAAGCGCGTGTTGCCGATGCTGATGGCCGTCATCTGGCCCGCGTTGATGAAGAGGTTGACAGCGGCTGTCAGCGCTGGTCGGAGAGGCTGCGGTGCGATTTCGGAGATGTAGATCGGGGTGAGGGTTAGAAAGAAGCCCAACGCCAGGCCATTGATCTGGCATCAATCAGCTCTCGGTACAAGGGGTGGAGGTCTGCCTGAGTTGAGCAAGTGAAGCTCACCATCTTCCCAGCCAACAGTAGACCAGGCTCGGAGGCGGCATATTGAAGTCCAATACCAAGGATGGATATGCCCGAGGCGATCTGAAATCCTAAGCGCCGGCCAAATCGATCCGACTCCCAGCCACACATAAGACTTCCTAGTCAACAGTTAGACTATATTCATACCAGACTATGTTAGAGGGCGAGGATACCAAGAAGCATGCCCAAGAATGTCATGGCCCCCCATAACGCGTTCCAGGTCGCAGATACGAGCAACTGGCCCTCGTATTCATAGCCAAAAACCATCTTGAAACCAGGTAACGCGATAGTAATTGTACTGATACCTGAGAGGAGTGAATTGTCAGCGTCAATTCGTTTATCTAGTTGCCGAAAAGTGCCATGTTCGAATCGAAATTACCGATATCAAAGCCCCAGAGAATGGAAGCAACACCAGCACAAAAGCAGTGCGCAATGATAGTGGGATTCGCTTTCGCAGACTCCCAAGGCGAGATCGTGGCCTCCTCTCGCCGCTCCACCATTTTCAGTGAAACATCGTCAAGCTTCGTAATGTCCATGTTGTATGGCGTAGTAGTGTTTTTATCCGTGTAAATAAAATTTCACAGCGCTGGACAAAACCAAACAATGAGAGGGGGAGAGCAAACTTTTATGGATCAGGCATTCTGTGAGTTCCTTCGTCTGGCAAACTACATACTGCAGCTTCTCAATTTGATCATCTATTACTACCGGAAGACGAGTCTGGGGTAACGGGGTAATGACCCACTAGTCTGGGGATTCCGGAGTTTCGTCCACTTTCCCCGGATGAAATCGAATCTGCGGAAAAGCCGGTTCTGCAACGCCAACAACCACCAGAGCCACGTCCTCAGAATGACCCAGTCTTAGCCCAACGCTACAATCTATCAATTCTCCCGTCGGCCAAAACCTCATCCAGTTCATTCGCGTCCCTCGGTGAGTACTCAGTGACTTTACTCCGCACTGAGGGTCTCAGGCGTCTTGTGGCATTGGGCGGGACGTTGGATGCCCTCGACCGGGGGAGCATGCCGGGATTTCCTTGTAAGTGAAACAACGGATTCGCCTGTCGGCATTTTACCTGCTCATTTTAGCCTGATTAGCGACCGTGAATTGGTGATAATTCGCCGCGGAGGATTGCGCAACTGCGCTTTTGTCCGAAAATGGTAGTCATCTCAACTCTTTAGTTCGGGATATCCGAGCCTGTCAGCGGGGCCGTCGACATCAAACACACGTCCCGGCCTGACGAAGCATATCACGATGCAGAACAAGTCTTAATGAAAACGCCACCCCCTCAAGGAGGACTAAGTGATTCTGTGTTCAAGCACTCTGCATTCTCGACTCTGTTTGCGAACCGAATTTTACGATGTCATACTCGAATCCAGTCATACCAGGTTTCAACCCAGACCCATCAATATGCCGCGTTGGCAACGACTTCTTCCTTGTTACCTCGACTTTTGAATACTTCCCCGGTATTCCCATATATCACAGCAAAGATTTGGTGAATTGGAAACTCATCGGTCATGTCCTCACACGGCGGTCTCAGCTGGACATGAGGACGACTGAGCCGTCTGGGGGAATCTGGGCGCCGACAATAAGACACTGGCAGGGCCGATTCTACGTGTCTGTCGGCTGCACCCAGCGTTTTCGTCCCAAGGAATGGGTGAGTGAGTTTAATTCAGGCTCTCGCGTGAACTTGTCCTCGCCTGGACCTACAACAGCTTTGACTGACATGACTGATTAGGACATTACCATACCCCGCGGGTTTTATGTGACTACGGACAACATCTGGGAGCGTGACTCTTGGTCCGAGGCCGTCTACTTTGATGTGCCGGGAATCGATCAGGACGTACGTGGTGCGGAAACTGCGCAACTTGTTTAAGATACAAAAACATACTAACACCAGAACTGAAAGCTCTTCTTTGATGACGATGGGAAAGTCTACTTCTCCGCGGTCAACCAGATCAAAGACGCCAGCATAAAGCGGCATGGTCTGGGACTGGCGTCTTTCACCACCGCTATCGACTTGTCCACCGGAGACTGCATCGGACCAATCCGCTGGAACCGCCTTTCTGACTTTGGTCTGGGCATCGCCGAGGGACCGCATATCTTCAAGAAGGACGGGTTTTACTACCTCAGCACGGCGGAGGGTGGCACGGATGAGGGTCATCAACAGTGGATCTTCCGCTCCAAAGAAGGCCCCTTTGGTCCGTGGGAGGCGGGCCCCGAAGGAACGGTGAATCCCATGGTTTTCAACGACACCCATCCGGAGATCCGCAACACAGGTCACTTGGACCTTGTTGACGACTCAAACGGTAAGTGGTGGGCAGTCTTTCTCGGCGTGCGCCCTCAAAATGGTGGATTTGAAAGCTCGCAACTGGGACGTGAAACGTTTCTCGCCCCAGTGAAATGGGAAGACGGGTGGCCCATCGTCAACAACAGGGAGAAAATCACCCTTGAGATGAAGGCCGATGGTGTCGCAGCCCAGCAGAAGGAGACTCACTGGCGCGACGAGTTTCCAGGGCCCGAGCTCGATCTTGGATGGTATCATCTGAGGACACCCCTCAAAAACGCGTACAAGCTCGGCTCCACAGGCTTGCATCTTTACGGGGGCGCTTACCAGATCACGGAGTTTGAGTGTCCTAGCATGCTTCTGCGCAAGCAAACACAGTTCTCGATGGATTGGACAGTGGAGCTGGAATTCCATCCGGATGCTGTCGGCGAAGAAGCAGGCACGGCCATCTGGTGGTCCCAATTTGCTTATGCCTCGATCGGTCTGCGCAAGACTCCCGAAAACCATCACGAGATCGTTTGCAAAATGGTCGATGAGAAGGGGGAGTTTACGGTAATTATGCAACATATGGCAGTCTTATTTGAGCTGTGAAGCAGCTAACAGTTCCTTAGGAAAACGTTGTGAGCATTGGCTACGAGACCAAGGCCAAGTTCACCATTCAAGCACGACCACTGGGCTACGAGCTTTTTTACGTAACAACCAACTCCGAGACAAAAGAGAAAGTGCTACTTGGCGAGCGCCTTGGCTCAGTTTCCAGCAGAGCATTGACGCATCGGATTTCGGGGCGTGAGTCTCCCAACACAGGTGCTCACTTTGCCATCTACGCACAAGGAGCATCGGCTAAACCATGCCTGGTGCCTGCTGAGTTCAAGTATGTGGAGTGGAAGTTGGTGGAATGAATTGATTTCACATTGAAGCTAGATTTAGTTGAAAGAGAAGATTAATTACTATCTGGCATCAGCGAAGACTGATGGAAATCAAAGTGTTAAACCTTTCATAATATCATGTTTCCTACTGCAACACTCTGGACGGCCCTACCTCGCGTAGAGGATGTACTCAGCATGCCGACTTGTCGCATCATCACGCAGGTCGATCTAACAGCTGCCGATGCCGCCTGCACCGGTATTGGTTCCAGAGCCCAGCATCGTGCCCTCGGGCTCGCCTGATTAGAGGTCCGGCGGGTCCGACTTCGTTGGGAATGAGACCCTGTCCGCCTGCCTACACCAGCCCTACACCAAAGGGCCCTGTTTGTTTCGGTGATTCTGGAGTGTAACGAGAGGCGAACACTTTGTTTCGAGGTCGAGCGGGATCGAACCGTAGCGCCTTGGTCGGCGTTGTCGCTTGCTAACGCTGATGGAATGTGATTCTCGTTGCCCCGAGAGTGTTTGCTGTTCTGGGTTGGTCTCAGGCAAACTTGCGGTGAGGTTATGGTGCCTCTGAATTCAATCGCCGAATACAGCATGTCTGAACTCCTGAAGGCTGGGTTACTCGAAGAACTCTGGCGTGTTGGACCACAGCTGTTCCATGCGGAGCATATGAAACTAGACCCAGAACCCCGGCGCAACTTGCCAATCATGCGAGGGTGTAGTGTAGAGAATGACTACTGTGACTACTTAGCTGTTGCATGATAATAGTCTATGTCAAAAGCAGAGGCTCCTCAGATGCGTCCAAGATCTGCGTCCAATCGACTCGAGTTCCGTCCTCAGACTTTCGTTTCTGCCAGAGGTCTTCGAGCATATCCAGAGACAACGCAATATTCTGGAATCGTCGCTTCTTCAAAGTCATCTGCAGTCGACTGCGGACTGCCTCCATGTGCTCTTCCTCAGTTGCCTCGCCGCCCGCAAGGAACAGCGGAAAGAGGATTGCCGATTCGGCATGGCTACCGACTGGGATGTCGGAGACGTGCCTTAGAATATTTGAGACCTGTGTGCGAAGTTTTGTCGGCAGAATATCCCAGCCACTGACCGCCTTCAGCCAATCGTCTTCTGCAGATGAGGCTTCGTCTTCCATCCGAGTGCGCACGAGGCGGTAAAGGAAGATCAACACCGCGCTTCGAAAGGCGTTGGCTAACGCGACTAGCTCTGGCGCAGCATCAGGGCGGCAGCGCCAGTCTTGCAGCTCTTGTTCAACCTCGGCGCAAGTACTGTGAAACTGAATCATCCTTCTGGCGGCCTCTTCGGCAGGTAAGTCCAGGTCCAGTTTGGTTTCTTCATCGAGAAAGCAGAGAGTTGAGACATAGCGCAAAAGCTCTGTTGCGACACCCAAGTAGGTATCAACGACGTCGGTAATGCCGTCTAGGTAACTGCAGTCCAGCAGAGGCCGCCTCCGGAGCGTGACGCTACCGACAATATCGTGATACGCGAAGTTGCGAAGGATCCACTGGCCCTCCGAACTCTTTTTGAAAACATCTGGTCCATGCAGTGTAACTCCTGAGCTGGTGTTCACACTAGCAGACTCGATGATGTGCTTTGCTCCATTGAGGTGGGTGTACCATCCCCGGTTGCTACCCGCGCAAACCTCGCCTATCACGAAGGCTAGACACGTTGCTGCTTTGGTCTCATACCAAGTAATGTCATTCTGTGGTGTGCTCAAGGCCGTCGCGAGATTCGTCATTGCTGTTGAGTGAGCCTCTATTGCCGAAAGCTTGTACGATTGGTCACTCAAAGCTAGGTGCCCTGAGGCGAATGAGACAAGTGCGTCGTACAGGACAGACGACTCCATAGCCATGGGCAAGAACGCTGTAGCAGTCAGGATCGTTAGGCCTTGTGTGCTGCGATGTATGATTAACTTGTGACTCACCTGATAGAAATGAGTTGAACTGCTCATTGACGGTCAGGTAATGACTGAGAATTTCGATGTAATATCGCATGACCTGCCTCTTCTGTGGTGGCTCGCATGGCTCGATAATTGATACTGGCGGACAGAGTGGGAAACATCGCGAACGCTGTGGTGAGTTGTCATCGGCGTCCGGAACCCCACGCGACGGTTTGGTTGACTGCTGTTTGCGATCAACCCAGCTGGTAGGCACGATATCGCGAGTTGTGCTTCGGACACACTTCAACTTCAAACGCGCACATGCGCCACAGACTGGAAATGTATTTTCGGTACACTTCTTCCGCCTACGTCCTCCGAGATTGTGAGAAACACGCACTGATGAAGGGGATGCCGAAAAGGTAAGGGTGCTTGGTGAACTCACCGATATCGGCAGGTCAAACAACCAGTCTTGTCGTGCTTAGACCCTTTCCTCCGGCGCGGATCAGTCTGAGAAACAGAGGCCATATTCGTCTTCGCTTAATTGAGCAAAAGGAAGGTCACGGCGAGTGGTGAAAGAAGATATGCGGCGGCGTGTTGGGCGTAACAGGCGTGACGTAGGGATCTTTGGTGTTGAGAGGGAAAAAGAGGACCCCGATGGAAACCCAAGCACAGTGAGTGGATTAAAGACAGGAATAAGCGGAACTTTTCAGTCAGACATTATTGGGACACTTTCCTGTTTTAGTTTAGTGTTCTGTTATCGGTCAATGTGTTCTTCCCCGCGTTGGCGTTGACATGGACCGTCATCGGCCACTGACTCCGCACACCTTTCTTGTCATTTCAACTGCTCTTATCTAATTCGCTCGTTGAATTGACGCGATCTAGTGGGGAAGGCGTATCTTATCTCGCAGTATCTTGCATCTCCGGCCAGATTGCGCGTTCAAAGTGGGCACGCATGCATTGAAGAAGACCATGACTCGCTCGATGTTCGAACCGACTCAATTTAATTAGAAATACGGAGACACGCAAAGTCAATTCAAGACGCCAATTGAACTCCAGACATTGGGTATTTTGTGACTCAAAAGACATCGACAACCGCTAATGCTAAGGCATCTTCATCTTTGACAAACTTGGACTCTTCCAACCCTCAGGACTCTCACCATTGAGGCAATCGCGACAACCAGCTCACACGCGTCTACTTTCGACCATGGCAACATGTGAAACATCCTTCTCCTCCCCTTGCATCTTCTCATGGAGCCTCTCTTGCACGTCGTGGCGAACCTTCTCCTCCTCAGTGGGATAGGCGCGCTTGAACATGCTCCAGAGAGAATGCTGGAACAAATCATCCATGGACTCGATACTGCGGCCCTTCATCTCCGGCAAGCAGAAGAAAACAAATACCGCACCGATGTAGGTCATAACAGCGAAGAAAAGGAAGGTGCCGTAACCCATCGTCCGCAGCATGTGGGGCGTAGCAGAGGTGATCCCGTAGTTTACGATCCAGTTCGTGAAGAGACAGCATGACATGCAGAACGATCGGATACGAGCCGGGAAGATTTCAGCACTAGACACGGTGTTAGGAAGATACTCATGTCTTGCACACCTTGCGCAGGGACACTTACGCAGTCAAATACGGCGCGACGGAGTGTCCAAATGACCAGCCGAAAGCGTAGAGGTAGATCCTTTGATAATTGTTAGCTCATACTCGGGTAACATGAGGGAGAAAAGGCATGCTTACATGATGATACCGACAATTCCGCCAGGGGTCGTGCCACTTCCTGCCTTCACATCAGAGAAGCGGATGAAAAGCCCAATGTAGAGCATGGCCGTGGCCTGAATGGTGGCACCGATGATGAGGGGGAGACGACGACCGACGCGATCAACAATGACGGTGACGTAGACGATAGTAGTAGCCAGCTTGACAACCCCGTATACACCAGTCGTAAGAAGAGAACTGGAACCTTTGGGGACGCCAATCATGGCGAAGATCTGGGGAGCGAAATAGTTGAGCGAGTCGGTGCCGGTAAGCTTGTGGAAGAGGAACAACATGATGGCGAGGAAGAGGCGACGACGGTTGCTAGCGTTCGTTCCGATATCCTTCATGACAACAAGGTAGTTTGTTCCTAGACGAGTTAGCAAATTGAAGGCGTTTACTCCTCGTGGCACCTTGGCACTTACCCTTGGCGGTCACTTGCTCTGCTTCGACCTGAGCAGTGATCTCCATGTACTCTTGTCTAACATAAGGGTGCTCTGCAGGCAAGCCTCGAAGCTTGCAGAGATTCTTCAGGCCCCTCTCATCTTTGCCTTTTGCGAGAAGCGCTCGGGGTGTTTCAACGACAACTGCGAGTTGAGAGATTAGCTGATGTCGCACTAGAAGCCATAGGTTGGATTGATAGGTACTTACACCAAATCAAGACGAAGAGGAAGAATCCGGGAATGAGCTGAATACCAAAGGCTAATTGCCAAGCCTTGTTGTTGTTAGGGTCTTGATTAGGCCAAAGACTGACGGCATAGTTGACCCAGAATGCAATAGCAAGAGCTAGGATAATCATCAAATTGTAGGAAGTGGTAAGAGAGCCTCGAATCGACTTGGGAGAGTTTTCTGCTAGGTATTGAGGGGCCAACTGGAATGAAGGGTCAGCACACCACCAACAGTCAATCTCGGTCTCCAGTGTTTCTCACCATCGAAGTAGCACCGATGGCTACGCCAGCCAACAAGCGACCAGCATAGAGGACGTCCAGGTTTGGCACCTCTTGCATCGAGCAACCAATCAAGAAAAGGCCAGCCATCGAAGTCACAGCCTTCTTACGACCGAGGTAGTCGGAGAGAGGAGCTGCCAGCAGGGCTCCTGCAGTACCTCCAGCAGCAACTGTCTGATATTAGGTTTGCATTATCACAAGACGCACTCGTAGATCCTATATACTTACGCATCGCTGCGATATTGCCCTCTGTTTTCAGTATTAGATACTAGAAGCCATCAAAAGTTTCACAGTTGTAGCTTACCTCGCTTGTCGGCTTCCTCTGTACTGATGGTATCAAAACCGAACGCCTTCCGGAAGGAAGGAAACGTCATGATGCCTCCAATATTACCCTGGTCGAAGCCATAGGAGCAACCGGCAAAGGCAATCGTGATGCCCAAAAGGAGTAGTTTGGAGTTGAAAATCTCCCGAGGGTCTTTCTTCCACTCGGGAGAGGCGAAAAGTGAGCCTCCGCCGCCCATGTTTGCAATCGATTCTATCAAATCTGTGGGAGGTTGTTGTTGGAGAGGTTAGACGTTGCTTGCGACGGAAAGTCTATCGAACGGCTTCCGGTGTCGTAGAATGAGTTAAAGACAGACTTCGACTGTATCATATATCCGTACTGCCTGAGTCAATGGTTTGCAACGCAACTACCACCCCACGGGGAGAGGGGGCCCCCAAGAGACCAAGAGCCGAACTACCCCGCGTAATCCACAGCGTTTCCTCGAGCCACAACTGCATGGGGAACCATGGGGATCAGCCAATGCAACAGAGTCGGCGAGAAGACCGGCGTCACCAGAACGATCGTCCAGTTGAAAGGCCGCGAATTGCAATGGTTTGATGATGTGGCCGAGTGACCTGCCAGCAGTCCCACCATCCCCAGATTCAATGTCAGGGGGTTTCCGCAACCCCAGGTTTCATGGGGGCTAGGCAGAATTAGGAAACTCGGCGACTTGTCCTAGACTTCAACCTTCGCCCGTGTGCACACGGCAGCTAAAAGTCGTGGCGCTCCCGGGACATGAAATAGCGGGGCCGGAGTTTCGGCCGGTGGGATCCTGAGTCGCGAGGACTGATGGAAGCGGGGAATGCCTGACGCGGGGCAGGATAGTCACAACAACTTGGCGAACACCATCTTGGGGAAATACATAGAAGCGACCGCGTTCGGCCAGGATGCACTATTGTTGCCGCTGATACAGCAAAGAGGTCAACAGTAAACGACATCTATCCCAAGTCAACATTGAAGCTGTACCAACCAAACATTGGCCCACGTTCCTCCAGGCTGGTTTCTATCTGGCGCTCTGTCTTCAAACATGTCGTCTTCAACCTTGCATACAGCCGCTATCCCTGCGGCAACGGTCCAAGTGCACGCCTCCAACCTTCTCCAACTACCCGACAAGACTTTGCTGTGCACCTGGTTCGGCGGCTCACAGGAGGGTCTGCCGGACATTAGCATCTGGCTGTCTCGGCAGGAGCCCGGCTCCGACACCTGGTCGAGCCCACAGAAGATCTCCTCAGACACCAATCGCAGTTGCCAGAACCCCGTTCTCTTCAGAGCACCAAAGACAGGCGATATCTGGCTGTTCCACACATCGCAGGATGCAGGTAACCAAGATGGATGCTACATAATGTCTCGAACATCGAGCGATAACGGCGTTACATGGTCCGAAGCGCGGAAACCCCTGAAGGGTGTCACTGGTGCATTCGTTCGCCAACCACTGGTGGTCCTGCCTGATGGGACTTGGATTCTGCCTGTGTTCCATTGTCGCTCAACGCCGGGACAAAGATGGATCGGCAACAATGATATTTCAGCCGTCTTCTACTCTCGAGATGACGGCGAGACATGGACTGAAAGTGTTGTCCCTGACAGCGTTGGCGCGGTGCATATGAACCCCATTATTCCGAGCAAGGAAGGCTCAGACTACATTGCTTTCTACCGCAGCCGTTGGGCAGACAACGTCTATCGATCCACCTCGTCCGACGGTCTCAATTGGACGGCTCCAAAGCCAACGCCCCTGCCAAACCCCAACAGCGGGATCTGCGCCGCTCGTCTGCCATCAGGAAACCTGGCAATTGTGTTCAACCGTTCTGCTGCAGAAGCAGGAATGGCCAAGAGAGAAGGCTTGTACGACGACATCACCCCTGAAGACGACAAGCGCCCCAATCAAGCGGCGGTCAACGGGAAGACGGCAATCTGGGGAACTCCTCGCAAGACCTTAACTGTTGGAATTTCAAGTGATGATGGTTTGACGTGGAGGGAGAGAGTTCTTGAGGAAGGCGACGGCTTTTGCATGACTAATAACTCCATAGAGAAGACTAATCGGGAGCTAAGCTACCCCAGCATCTTTGTTGATGCAGAGGAATCTGTGGTTCACGTGGCCTTCACGTTCCATCGCCAACATATCAAGTATGTTAGGATCAAGGACATCGAGAAATGGGTTGAGGAAGCATAGATCGACGCCAACCAACATTCAATACCCCTAGAATACGATTTCTTTCAAATCCTGCCCCGTGGATAAAACATCAGAAACACGTCGATTGATAATTCGTCTCAATAGACCTTTGGAATATTTTCAAACCAAGACGATCCTCAAATTAGATGGGAAAATGTTGCTGGCGACTTGAAGGGGGCTTGCACCTAGGAGTGGGAGATTGTGACTTCTTTTACTACGGGCCCGTTGCTGTTCCGCCTATACTAGCAACGCCGTCTCTACCTCTTTCATCATTGCTCCTATTGCCGTCCTCTATCTCAGCATAGCATGAAGTCTATTCCAATGCACGGGGAATTCGGGCGATCAATAAGCCATGTCGACTAATTGGTAGTTTCTGTATCTGTACGGCGTTTATGTACTCCATGACCTTTGCTTCTCGGTCGTTTCCAGAACACCTAATGTCTCCAAAGCCCACTTCTTGGTGGCATCGCCAAGAGGCAGATACGGCCTCCTCATCTCCCACGACGACTCGTCATCAATACCAATATCACGTCCAAGGAAGTGCCAAGCACCATACTTGGTCAAGGCAATACCCTTCTTACAAGCCCATTCTGCGTTTGCGACGTCAAACTGTAGCTTTTGGGCCTCCTCAAGCTTTCCGGCCGCCCACAGATCATAGACAGCAGACGTCGAGCCTGGGAAGATGTTGCCCATGCCGGTGACACAGCCACTGCCCCCAGATTGCAAAGTTGGGAGAAGGTAGTCGCTGCTACCACCAAAGACACCAAATTGCTCATGGGCAAACTTGCTCGTCAACCTCACAACCTTGCCGACATTTCCGCATGTCAGCTTGACTGCCACAATATTTGGGTGCGACGCGAGAGCAGTCAGTTGATCGGAGTCGAGATCCACACCGGAAGTCACGCCGGGGAAGTTGTAGATGACGATCGGGATGGGAGAGTTGTCAGCGACGTCGCGGTAGTATCCGAGAATCGCGTCGCTGGAAAGGGCCTTTGCCCAGTAACTCGGCGGCAGCAGCAGACCGAAGTTCGCGCCCGCGCTCGCAGCATCCCTGGCGTTCAGGATGGACTCGCGTGTTGACTGCGCTGAAATGCCGGCGACAATGGGGTAGTCTGGCTTTCCAAGATCTTTTACTGCGCGAGCGGCGGTCTCGACGATGGCTTTACGCTCGTCAGCTGTTAGGAGAACGAGCTCGCCGTTGGTGCCGAGGTAGACGAGGCCATGCATGCCTGCGCGCACCAGAGCCTGGCACTGCTTGTACATGGCATCATGGTCGACGGGCTGCAGAGGATCGCCGGCTTTATAGATCGTGACGACAGGGGTGTAAACCCCCCGGGGAAGGGGCTTGGATTTGGAGGCGATGTTACTTGAAGGCATGATGGAAATGTGGAATTACTAAGATAGTACAGGTAGGTGTCTGTGATCTTGGCTGAGAACGACACTCAGCGTTGTCAAAAATCGTCTCGTTTAAAGGTGAATTTTAAAATTGTTTTGCAGGTTGAGCCTGGAAAACAACCCCTCATAATGGTGAGACTCCAACTCCGATGCTGCGGAGACAGATGCGGAGAAGCACTCGGCCAAGCAAAACGACGGACCGTTGCCGGATTGTCGACCGATTTCGCAATCAGGTTAGCAGTCAAACTACGAACTCAGGACATCTTTCGTCCAGTGACATTGTGCCTAATTGTTGATACGTAAGAAACAGAACACTTCGTTACGTGGGAAGATGGATTCACGCACATCCGGGGCTGGTCCGGGACACTTGTGTAACGGCCCACATCGGCGAGAAAGCCGAACCATGGGGAATGGGCGGTGCGGAGGCGACAGGGATGCATCGCGCCGCTCGGGCATGACGGGGATGTCGCGATTTGTGAGGCAATCCGAACTGGCGGTTTTGCGAAAGCGCGGTCTGGAGTTGATGGGGCTTGGCAGGCGGTGGCGACTTGTCAAAATTGCTTTTCCATCATTCCGACAAGCAATATGTTTGCTCTGTCTCGACTTCGAGTGAAGCAGACTTGGGAGCTGAGGGGACTGGAGGAACATCATCGACCACTTGTTTTGTGACATCCGACCACCACCTTGAGACACCCGGTCCTCCCGAACACGAAACACGATGGCGACGAAAGCACAGGAAGGCAACGTGATCAGCCTTACTGATCTCAGCAAACACAACTCCAAGACGGACTGTTGGATAGCTGTTCATTCCAAGGTTTGGGACATCACTGATTTCATCAGCGAGCATCCCGGAGGTCCTTCGGGTAAGTTTTTTGCCCTACCAGTTCCGAGTCATTCGTCTCACCGCTATGATGCGTTCAAGTCCTTCTCAAATGCGCTGGCTCGAATGCCACAAAGATCTTCGACAGCGTTCACGCACCTGATATTCTCGAGGAGCTTCCAGAAGAGAAGTTCATTGGCGTCTTGAAGGATGCCACTCCAGACGTTCCGGCTGCAGCATCACAGCCAGAAGGCCAGAATGGAGTAGCTACAGCTCCGGCGGAGGTTGCGCAAACATCTGGCTCGGCGCAAGAAGAGGACGTTGTCCCACCTCTGGAGACGATCCTCAGCGCCCCGGACCTCACAGCTGTTGCGTCCAAGGCTCTGACGCCAAAGACATGGGCCTTCTACTCTTCTGCCGCAACGGATCTGATAACACATACAAAGAACAAGGAGCTCACGAGGAGGATCATGATAAGGCCGAGAATTCTGAGAAATGTCTCCCATGTCGACTTCAAAACCAACATTCTTGGCTTCAAAAGCTCGGCCCCATTCTTTATTTCGCCAGCAGCCATGGCGAAGCTAGTGCACCCAGATGGTGAGCTCGCTCTGAGTCGTGGCGCAGCAAACGAGGGCATCATCCAAATCGTAAGTAGTAATTGTCTTTGCACACAATGAATAGTAACTAACCCGGTTTCTAGATCTCAAGTAACGCCTCGTACACTCTGAAGTCAATCGTTAACGCTGCTCCACCGAACCAAACATTCTTCTTCCAGCTCTACATCAATGCAGAACGGCACAAAACCATCGAGATTCTGAGGTCTGCCAAGGCACTCGGGATCAAGGCTATCTTCGTCACAGTCGACGCGCCTGTACCTGGAAAGAGGGAGGCCGACGAGCGTGCTGCTCAGGCAGGAACCATTCGCTCAGCAATCAGCAATGCTGAAAGCAGTAAGGACAAGAAGGGTAGCGGACTGGGACGTCTCATGGCTCAGTATATCGACAAGTCAATCACATGGGAGGACCTTACCTGGATCCGGGAGGCGAGTGGAGTGCCAATCGTGCTTAAGGGCGTGCAAACTGCGGATGATGTCCGCCTGGCCGTCGAGTACGGGGTCGATGGTGTTCTTCTGAGCAATCACGGAGGTCGTTCACTCGATGGGTAAGTTTAATTCACCCCTTGCTTGTTTTGAGTGATGCGGGGGGCAGCTTGCGCTAACAAACATCATGCACAGCGCGCAAGCATCGATTCTTGTCCTCCTCGAGCTTAGAGAGCAGTGCCCCGAAGTCTTCGATAAGCTTGAAGTCTACATTGATGGAGGGTTCGAGCGTGGCTCGGACATCCTGAAAGCAATTGCACTGGGAGCAACTGCTGTTGGTGTTGGCCGGCCGTTCTTGTACTCTTTGGTATATGGTCAAGAAGGAGTCGAACACCTGGCGCAGAGTAAGTTGAATGTTTTCCGTGCTAGCCAACGTCGTTTCACAGCTAACTCAATTGTCTCTTGCAGTCCTGAAAGACGAGATCGAGACTTCAATGAGACTTTGTGGCATCACAAGCTTGAGCCAGGCGTCGCCGGCAATGGTGAACACGCTGGATGTGGATTACATGGTCATGTCAGAGGCGCAGTCCCGACAAAAGAGGCCTCTCAGAAAGCCGCGATCGAAGCTGTAAACACGGAATACACAGAAGATCCTGTGAATAATATATATTTATCATGCCCATTCAGTTGGAAATTCGTATCAGAAACCATATTTTGCACTGATGGTCCTTGAGTGAAGAAACATCTCTTGGTCATGGACTCACAAGTAGAGCCTGGCTGTCGATACGTCCTGCGTATGACTGAGACTTCTCCAAAATTTGTTCACATCGATTGACTCCTGATATGTAACAGCACATACAATGAGTCTTTGTCATCCCACATCCATTAAAACATGTATCTGCTAAGATAGGTACCTGAGTATAGACAGCTGGGTAATACCCCAGTTTACTTCTTCAACGTCTTCGCAAAAGCTTCCACAGCTTGCAAGATGGGTCCATCCGGCTCCAGACCCAGACTGTAAGCCCTGGTTACATCATAACGGGCCGGCCACGTGTCTACGATCGCCAGAATAGCAGGGTCCTTCTTCTCCTCAATCAAAGACAAAGCATCCTTTCCGCCGACCTTCTCCACAGCATCCAGAATTTCCTGTACAGTGACGGTGATACCAGGGAGGTTCACAACCCTAGAATCGCCGAACTTCTCCGCTGGAACATCCTTGACCTTGATAAGGTTCTTGACCACAGTAGCGGGACTGCAGACCCAAACCTCGAGGTCGCGGCTCACAGGTAGGACGTTCTTGATGCCCTTCAGCGTTTCGCGGACAATGCCAGAGGCAAAGCTCGAGGCTGCTGCCGAAGGCGCGCCGGGTCTGACTGTGACGGTGGGAAGTCGAACAATGCGACCATCGATCAGACCGCGGCGAGAGAAGTCTTCCACGAGCAGCTCAATCATGAGCTTTTGAGTGCCGTACGAGGTCTTGGGCTTGGGCACGATCTCGCTTTCACTGACGGGCTGGCGGGGGCCGTAGACGGCGCAGGAGCTGGTGAAGACTACCGTGGTGCCGGGGTAGTTTCTGCGGAGGTGGTCGAGGACGGCCCGGACCGAGTCAAAGTTAACGGTGTATCCAAGCTCGAGATTGGCTTCGGCGCCCCCTGACATCAGCCCGTGCAGGAGGTAGACGGCAGCAAACTTCTTGGACAAGAGAGCGGCCACCGCCGCGGGGTCGGTGAGGTCGGCCTTGAGCGACTTGATTCTGTCGCTCTCCCCTGCTACATCGACTGGTACTGGGGGCTGAATCACATCGGTGATTGTGAGCTGGTGGGAGGGATTGGCCTTGACGAGAGCGGAGACTAGCTCTTGGCCAACGAAGCCAGCTGCACCAGTAATGAGGATCTCGGTTGACATCTTGAACTGTTTTCTGAATATTTGGATGATGCAAACAAAAGTTTGGGCTCGATTAACTGCGAAGCTCTTGCGATGGAGAACCACGATCTTCACCCCTCATTGCCCCTCCTCCCCCTCATCAATCACTTTTAATCGTCCGATTTCGCTATGGTCTTACGGGGAACACTCGATTACGTTTTCGGGGAAGCTCCTCATTCCCGCTGCAACTCGCTGCGAAGTAGCCGAGCGTATCCGACAACATGCGGCAACGGAAATGCGCGCCAACAAGCTGCTGTGTCGTCGTTCGGACAGGTTTCCGGCGCAGGATGCCCAATGTGGACGTCGGCGAGAATACCGACACGTCTGGAGACTCGCGGCAATCCTCCGGATGGGCACTTCCCCGCACTGCGTGGGGCTTCGGTGAAGCAGGGGTTCGGGAGATTTTGGGCGGAGGAGTTGAGGCCGAGAATAGCGAGGGCGTGTGGGATGACGTGATGGGCGATAAAACAAAACCTCTAGATTGTTCAACTGTAATCAGACTGCAATGATACTTTGAGCTGGGCAAGTTTGATTGATCTAAGCAAATTCTTGATACCCGACAAAGTCCTGGTCAAAGCAAACAGATTAGCAATATGGAATACGTGAGGTGAGCTCCCAACCTCTGGAACCACGAAGTTGGCCCCTCACCTGTTGACCCCCTGAGTTTTCACCTGCGGTAATTTCGAAATAAAATTTTGAATCGTTATCTAGTCGGGTCGGGGTTCGGGAAATGCATTGTAGTAATACTAACAGGCATCCGCGGACAGGCTTGGAAACAGTGGCCTGAAGGTCTCCAAGATCATCCTCGGATGTATGGCCTTCGGCACCTCTCAATGGGAAGGCTCACCATGGGTTCTCGATGAGGCAGAAGGGTTGGAGTTGCTCAAGGCAGCTTACGATAGCGGCATCAACACTTGGGACACCGCCGACACCTACTCAAACGGTCATTCTGAGCTCGTAATCGGGAAGGCTCTCAAGAAGTTCAACATCCCTCGACAAAAGGTGGTGATCTTGTCCAAGATCTTCAACCCAGTAATGGACGACAACTCGAGGCCCGCGAGCGTCAACGACGGTCCTCTGGTCAACCAGATGGGACTCAGTAGGAAACACGTGTTCCACGCCGTTGATAAGTGCCTGGAGCGCCTCGGCACCGACTACATCGGTACGTAATTCTGTCATTCCAGGACCAAAGCGAGGCTAACTGTTGCAGATGTCCTTCAGATTCACCGTCTTGACCGCGAAACCCCGCCCGAAGAGATCATGCGAGCCCTCCACGAAGTCGTCCAGTCCGGTAAAGTCCGTTACATCGGAGCGTCCTCCATGTACACATGGGAATTTGCCCGTCTGCAATACATCGCGAAGTCCAACGGCTGGACCGAGTTCATTTCAATGCAGCCGTTCTATAACCTGCTCTATCGCGAGGAGGAGCGCGAGATGTTGCCGTTCTGCCAAGCAACTGGCGTGGGTGTGATTCCTTGGTCTCCGATCGCGCGCGGTATGCTCGCGAAGCCACTGGCAAAGGACAATGCGGACAGCACTTCGCTACGGGCGCAGACGGACAAGAAGACACAGGCTTGGTTTGCTGATGCAAACTTGGATATTGTCAGTCGCGTGGAGGAGGTCGCGAAGAAGAGGGGCGTCAGCATGGCGCTCGTGTCTACCGCGTGGGTGCTCCAGCAGGGCTGCTACCCAATCGTTGGGTTGAATTCCGAGAAGCGAATTAAGGAGACGGTAGAAGCACTGAAGTTCAAGTTGACGGAGGAAGAGTGTAAATACTTGGAGTCTGAGTACAAGGCCAGGGCCATTCAAGGCATGTAATTATAATTCAGTTCGCTGTTCTTCGAATATGCAATCTATGATACAAGTTCACGCTCTCCTGGGTATCAATCTACTAAACCCCCTCAACCCCCGGTCTTCATGTGTTGGGTCTAGACATCTGATACTCAACATTGGTGAAGTCTTGAGCCGGCAAGGTGGAACTTTCGGGGTTCAACGATGACAAGTCAAAGTTGAACACTGGCGACAAGCCAAAACTCATGTCATAGTCAAAGAAGAATTCCCCCTCGGAGCCGATGAATGTCCCATCAGTGCTCGGTGGTATTAGCTGTGGATCGATAGTACCATTGACGCCGTTTGATGCAGGCAATGCGTCGTGCAAGTGAGCCAAGGTACCATTTTGACTACGCTTTAACGTTGCAGCCATCCGTTCAAGACCTGGCGCCATGAGATTTGCAAGATGCCATTTCCCAGCTGGCAATGATCGGAAGTGTCTCACGAGACTTGTGCTCAAATTCCAGACGCGGTCAGGCTCTATCAGATCCCCACCATACTTCACGGCCACCTTGATGAGAAACATACATGCGAAGGCAGTCATGCAGTGAAGATACGAAGGCATGCCTATCACGCCAGCAGCAACATCCGGGTCAGTCAAGATGAAGTTGATGGTTGAGGTTGCGACGGAGATGGCTGTTGCTGCGCAGTCGAGGAAGTGGTAAGGTATTGGGCTGTCTCCGGACAGCCCACGAAAGATGTGTGAGTAGAGATGAAGTTTTGCAAAGTGGAAATGCAACTTGGCACCTTTTCGTGGAAAGCGGCCAATATTTTCTGACTCTTCTGTAAGAAAAATTAGCCCGTGCGATTTGTCATTTGACAATATTTTCTTACCTGGTAACGTCTCAGACCAATGCTTTAACCAATGGTCAAGTTCCTTGTTAAACTGCGTGATCTGATGAACATAGGATCTCGGTGTCGGTTGCCCCTTGTCTGGACCGAACAACTCTCGTATGCTGCCTATGATGCCTAGGAGTGCCACTTGACTTGCAAGACGTTTGTCCTGCTCGTTCGATACTGGGGACGCTAAGAAGCTCTCCCACTGTTGCATCGACGAGTCTTCCTGGACGATTGCTGGCCTCCCATACAGCGTGGCCAGGTGCTGGTCGCAAACATTGAGGATATACCACAATCTCGCTCCATCAGCAGCTTCCTCGCTCTTCTCCTCGATAGCGCTGGTATAACTATTGTGCAGATTGCATTCCGCCGCTCGCCGGATGGCGTAGCCTGACAACATCCATGACACGTCGCTCAGCCAGTACGACGCAACGCACATCGCCCGAAGATAGTCTCGGTCTACGCGACGGTCAAACATTGATCTTTCCGTCAGGCGACGGAACTCCGAGCTGCATACACCATAGATCCCGTTTGCTTGTGGGTCATGGAGAGCGGCGACCGTCAGAGTTGCGGCGGTGAGGATTGAACTCCTTCGTCGCAGTTCATCGAGCTGCTGATACTTGCAACCCACCCCGTACATGAAAGGATCGAGCCGATCGCGGTAGAGACGGAAAAGCCGCTCGGCATCGTCGAGCCGGAGAGCTCCGCGGGCGATGAAGTCGTGAAGGGCAGGACTTGAGTGTCCCTCAGGAGCATCCGGAGACCTTAGGGCTCGTAGTTTGGTGAGTGCGTACAGTGAGTGTATCGGTACGTGAGGGAGATTCTCGTCTTCGGGGGAGATTTTGGGAGAGTTGTCGCAAGAAGGACCATGGTTGTCCTGCCCTGATACACCAAGACGGTAGCCATTGCCATTGGTGGTTGATGCTGGCCGCCCGTTTTGTGAAGGAGAGTCTGTTGAGTTTCGCAATGTTGTGCTCTGAAGCGCAGCAGGCTCTGACGCCCCAACCTTCTTGGCGATCTCCTTGAGTGTGGCGTGGAGACTTTCTATGTCTTGCAGGACAGCCTCATTGTATCTATGTAAGATGTCAGTGAGAGGGTTTCTTCGACACCGTCGATCGGAATAGTCATTACTGTGTCTTCTCATCAATGATGCTCTGTAAGTTCTTGCCAAGAACGCAACCCAGATTGCGTTCGGAGCACCGACGACATGGTGGACCGCTCTCATCCATCAAGCATTTGATCTGCGTGTGCACAGTCAGCAAGGGGTCTTTGGAGTTTGGAGCATATCACAAACCTTGTGTTTGCGGCATGCTGCACAAGCCTTAATTTTACGGGATATTTGCGGAAAAGACCCTTCCCCGTTACCAGCAGTCAACAACTAAAGCCTGGGGTCAGTCTTTCACTCTCGCGACACGTCAAGGGCTGAAGATACCGTCATGAACTCCATGCCTTCATTGGCATCAGCCCAGCTACGTTTTGACATGGCCTTTAATGAGCACGGCTCACGCAAGAAGGCGGCGAGTTTGTCGATTCAAGGGTTCCAGAGTGTAGTTGGAGTCGGTCGTGAGGAGTGGAAGAGGAGAAGTTCGGCTGCAAAACACACGCGTTGAGTGGCGCCGGGCGACTGGGTGGTCGGCACTTGTGTGGAGAAAGAGACAGGGATGAGGCCCTCTCAAGATCAGGTGTTTCCCCGCGGCGGATTTGAAAGCAGTTGGAGATGATTGAAGGCGACGGAACGAACCCCGCTTCCCCGCATGACCCCCGCAAGTGGACAACATCGTGAAGCGGCTTCATTCTTTCCGGCTTATTACCAGATCCCTCTCACGTATGATTAAGCGCCTGGGATCTCAAAACTTTCATTACCTTACGTTTTGAGGCAGACGCTATTGTATGACAAGGAGTCCTGTACTACGCGTGAAGACATAGTAATGAATATTGATGGATTAGAACTAGTGTGTCTATACTCTTGCGGTGAGTTGCCAGTCTTTGCTACTCCAATGGCAGTTTTATGCAAGACGAAAGAGGATATGCTCCTGTAGAACTGTCGTGACGTCGATCGATGTATTGATAAGTCTCCTGATTCCAGAATACTATCGGTCAAGCCTTGCCTGACTTACAATCTCATCCAACACCCCATACAAACATCAGTCACAGTTACAGTCATAGTCACATTCACGCACACACCATGGCCATCTCCGTCCTCCTCGCAATCCTTAAAGGCTCTTTTCGGCCCCCGGCCGGGACCCCGTGGACCGTGGGAGATGACGTGAGTGAATACTACCGCAGCTGGGGCTTCACCATCTACCGCACCGCCTACGGCCCGGCCACCGACGCGCAGTGGCTCACCCTTCTCGACAAGATCCGGGCCCAGGCCGTCTCCGAGATAGACGGCTACGTTGAGGCCGGCGAGGAGGACGTCGCCCCACTGCTCAAGTCCCTCTTCTTGCTTGACGCCCGCTCCGATGCCGCCCTGCTCGCGGACAAAACCATGGACGAGGTCCGCGAGATTTACAAGCAGGCGGCGGTGGCCAGTCGCAGCTCCAGTGACGAAAATAACAACGATAACAGGCAGTCGGTGCCCCTCATGCACGACGGCCCCAACCAGCGCGCGTTCCTCCTTGCTGACGCCGAGGTGCTAGAGGGCGTCGACCGAGACTCCTACTTCTGGGTCAGGTGTGTCGAAGTTGATTTCGCCGAGAGAGATTTGGCCAAGACGGACGGCGCCCCGGGGGCTCGGGGGAGGGGTAGAGCAGCAGCCGGGGTGTGGTCTGGTTGGATGAAGATGACGACCCGCAGCGTGGTCGATTTGTGTGCCCAAATGCTGGTGCGCGATCTGGCTAGCATCGCGCCTGGTGCGAGGGCCGCGGACGAGAGGCCTGTGTACAATGCCGAGCTGACCGGGTCCTCGCTGACGAGCAAGATGTCGAGCGGCAAATGAGGCGATGGAGGGGAGGGCCGTGAGGACCCTGAACCTTGGGAGGCTTGGGGAAGATAAGTATGAATCATAGGATGGACTTAGATGGCTTTTCAGCATTATCAACATCTCCTATGGCTAACGAAGTCAGGATTCAGAGGTGTGTAATAAACTACAAAATTTTCAAACTACATATGTTAAAAGAAGCTCATGCTCAGGGCGCCCGACCGAGCTATTGCGTCGCTTTGAAGCCTGGTCAATAGCCAGTATCTGTATGTGAACGACATCCCTTGACAACTTCAGTGAGGGCGGAGTAAAGAAGAGACTTGCCTTCCAGCCGCAGCATCTGTCATTGCATTGTCAATGAGGTTACCGTCAAAGGTGTGATCCACTGCAAACCTCTGTCAAAATTCATTCAGACACAGGAGAAGCCGCGGTGGTCGCTGTCTCAATTTCGTGCAATTGTCCATTATTGCCGCCAACCAGGGTCGCTACCGGGGTTGCTACGTGTGCAAGTCGATGAGCATGGTCGTATGTCCGCCTCCTCAACCAGTCGTGCGGTCTTCACGCATTTAGCGACAGCCGTGGCCTGGCCCAGCCTGGGTACTTGTTCGTTCCAATTCTGGCCGCAGACCGGGCAGAAGGATTGCGATGCCATCATTTCAGCGCGACCCAGAGCTTTCCCCTAGTTCTTTAGACAAGCAACTGATGCAGCCTATCCGAATATTGAGGTTTCATACTGTGACAGATTCCACATGGAACACGGTCAAGTCGTCGTGTTGGAATATTTAAGGGACGACACCGACGCCGGCAGCGGATATACGGCTGAGTCTTGCGGTAGTCGTTCCATCTACCGGACGGCAGAACTGCAACGGTCAAGGCGAGCATCAGTGGGGTAAGGTAGCACATCTCCTGCTGTATATTCAACATTCCTGATCGGGCACGTCGGGTCACTAACAAATGCGCCACAGACTGGACCATCTCTGAAATCAGCGACAATTAAGCATGTATGGCCATGCTGCAGAAATCGGACGACGGCACATACCGAGATTCAGCGTCGGTCGAACTCTCCGGTGTGATCTGCCGGAACTACCGCTCAGTGGCTCTTGATACCGCCACTTACGATCGGCTGAACTTTTCGTTGGCCGAGCACACTTAGACGTCTGACACCTGCCCCAATCCGGAATGAAGCGTTCGAGCTACCCCTTTCGAACCGCCGTTCTTCGTATATCGCATTCGATACGAGCTCGCATAAAGAGCCCCAGATTCACCCAATCTTGCTTGACTGTCTTGCGTGATCCATACCGACAGCACCCTTTGCAACATTGTTTCTACGAGCGTCCTAGGATGGAGACGTCTAGCGCTCCTATTTGCAAGAAAACCTCTCGTCGAAACCACACAAAATCACGCAGTGGCTGCTCGGATTGCAAACGTCGCAGAGTAAAGGTATGCGTAGTCGAGTGGAGTTTGCGCGAGCATAGCATGGCTTAACTGAAAACCTCATAGTGCGATGAAGCATGGCCTGCGTGTTCCCATTGCGCTCGACGCAAAGTTACATGCAGTTTAACATATGCCAAACCCCTCTCCCTAGAAGGTTCTCCGTCATCAGAGCTCAGCCACAGTCCCAATCGTCGCCATGTCCGATCGGTGTTTGAAGCTATTTTGATGGCCAACCGTCCATCAAAATCAGACTACGGCGATGCCGTTATGTCGCCGTACGACACACCCAAGTTCGACCTTTCACGTCTTTCTGATCCCAATTTTTCGTCACTTTCAAATAGTCGAGACAAGGAGTTGATGCATCATTTTTCCACCCTCACCGTACACTCAATGGCCACTCGCCCGGATGTACTCCACATTTGGCAGACTATAATCCCTCAGTCATGCTACGAAAATGACTTTGTTCTTCACGGCATCTTAGCCCTGTCTGCAGCACACAAAGCCTATCTTCTCTCAGGCAATCGACAACTCTATCTCAATCTATCTGACTACCATTTCAATATTGGGTCAGAAACCTTCCGCTCTCAACTTTCAGACGAGGATGAGCGCAAAAGAAATCAGAAACCCCTATTTCTGTTCGGGGGCGTCGTCATCATACACATCCTGACATCAACGTTGCGTACGCACAATTCAGAATCGGACGCCATCGAAAACCTAGTCAGGTTAGCACGAGCTATAAAAGGGTTTCGTGTCATCATATTCTCATGTCTCTCATGGAGTGCCATGACCGACCTGGCCGCGTTGGACTCTGGATCTCGACCGTTCACGTCGAAGGAACTCGGTGAGATGTACGGGATAAACATTCTCTCCATCGATCCATGCGCATTCGTTGACTGACCGTCAAATATATAGGGATCTCTCAATACGGAACACAAACCTACCTTGTGATATCCTAGAGGCTCTTGAGGATCTTCAAGCATTTCAAACAAAAGATGCTCTTCCTGAGCCAGAAAGTCCCTATGAGAAGGCTACATTGGGCCTTACAGATATCGTCAAGACCCTGGCAGCCTGCGGCGTGTTCTCAGAGGCAGGCATTGTCCTTCGCTGGCTCTACTTTCTTGATGCAGACATTCTGGCAGACATAGAGACGCTACAGCCCTCGGCTCTGTTACTTGTCGCTTATTTCGCGGTGATTCTGGCATCCATGGAGAAGACGGTATGGTATCTCAACGGCTGGGGCGAAGCAATCATCAGACAGGTGGATCAGCTACTGCAAGAGGACTCAAAGGAGAGGAGCATTTTTGCATGGGCAAAACAGCAAATGCCACATAGAATACCTTAGTGAATTTAGGTGAATTTCAGCGTACTGACATTGAAAGTTTCTGTTTTCCTTTGGCAATTCTGCCCCACTAAGCAAAACTCGTATTCAAAATATGCATTTTCCCTAAGTTAGCGCTGAGCTAACAATTTCAGTTCGTTCGGCACCAGTCAGGGGAGTCTGAGACCCTTGCAGACTTAGTCGAGGCTTAGCTTCGGGGCGAAGGGAAGTAAATGACCCCGAAGCCCAGAAGCAAACCCTTGCAATCCGAGCTGGACGAAGTACCCGCATCTTAGCGGAAAGCTTTCCCGAACGTGAGGAAGGTAGTAGACAAAGCATATGGGAGGTAGTTTATACTGTCCTTGGTACCCGAGGCAATCTTCCAGGGTTATGGTTGAAATGCTTTGAGCAGTCCAGGTTTCGTGTATGAACACCACGACGAGTCTCAAGGGTACTTTAAAAAAACAGAGGAACCGATTTGTTCCCAAATCCGGGGGAGGCGTTGTCACATTCCTGGAATTGGTGAGTTGAATGATAAGAACTGACAATCGCCGCAGGAGAAAGTGCAAGGTCCATCGTATTTGCTTGAGTTACATACTCTGAGGCGAATCAATGGCGTCGTCAGTTTCCAATGGGAAGCTATGCCAAGCTCTCCCGACAAGATCTGTAGTAGGCGCCGCCCGCGGCCAGACCATCTCAACAATCCACAGGAAAATGCCGCCTACTTCTTCTATGGGATCCTTGTCATGTCGGTTCATGTCCTTGTCATCTTGGCCAGGAATCACAAAGTATTCTGCCCGATTTTCCGAGTTGACAAAGCGCCAAGCAATCCATGGAAGACCGAGGAGCGAGCAATATTCTCCAAAAGCAGTCCCAGTGTCGTCTTTGTTACTCATTTTGATTTGGTCGTACCCCGTGACGTCAACTTGTAGAAGTTCGAGACAAACGGCAGCACTCCTCTGCTTGGCCGCTGTGATCACTTCGACGATTGAGCGCACCAATCGTGCATCAACTGCTGAGTTAATGACAGCGGTCTTCAGGGCGCCTGTTGAAAAGCCCGGGTCCTTATTTGCCGTCACTCGCCATATCTCCCTCTCAAAGACGCCGTAGGCATAGTCTTCCACACCCATTGATTCCAGGGTCGCGCGACTGATCGGAGGCGGCTGAACGACAAGGGTGATGGACAGGTCTCGCAGGCGCTTGAGCTTCCCCAGAGCTCGGTACGACGCCACCTCTGATGCACCTCCCTTACGCCTGGGGATGCGCAAGGTGAGGCACTCCACGAGCGGGCTTCGTGCGGCGATTTCCAGAATATCCTTCTCTTGAAAGACGCGAGAATTGTACGTTGCCAGGTCCAAGGTCCGTAGACAAGGGCCTAGGACAGAATCCAAAGCGATTTCAGAACTGAGACCGCCTATTCTGAGTGTCACCAAGTGTGAGGATACTCTACGCAGGGCGTCCGCGACGACTTCCCAATACGAGCGGCGGTCGACATATGGCAATGCAATGTTCAAGTGCATTAGAGACGTGAGATTGCACTTTGCAAGCTCTTGTAGCGCTGGAACCTCCAACATCTTCAACTTGAGGACTCGTAAAACGGAGATGTCGGTAGATTCCCCCACACTTTGATCACTTCGTCGGACACGTAGAACCCTTGATCCATTTCGATGGATGTTAGAGACGCTGGCGATTGAGGAAGATCGAGATGGCTGACAGCCTCCCAGGGCTCCGGAGGGAAAGACTGCGTGCTTTCGTCGGGTACGGGACGCAAGTGCACCCTTTTCAGATTGGGGGCCATTCTAGTCACATGTCGCATTACAGCAGAGTTGTGTATGTTGTTCGGGTTTGGCTCTTCGTTGTTGTTAAATCGTCCGTAGTCTCCGTGACTGTTTGCGTACGAGTATCTGATGCTGTGCAAGCATGGCGAGCTTGCCAGCCGTAGCTCGTGGTCAGTCTCCTCGGCGTCTAGAACGGCCGCAAGGCCATGGCGGTCTTTGATGCTATGCAAGTGAAAATTGCGCAGATGAAGCCTGCAACTGGGATGATACTCGTGCAAAGTGGTGAGCAGGCATGGCGGGAACTGATTAGGGCATGCGTAGAGAAGGTCTTTCAGTCTTGGAAGCTTCTTGATGAGTTTCGCGAGGGGTTTCCAGAACCCGTCTGGTACTTTTGCCATCGTGTACTCATCCCAACCGTAATCTACGCCGTTGTGACCAGTGTCGTAAGATTCTTGAAGCCAGCCATCGATTCTAGTCTCGTCATCGACCCTTTCCGCGGGTGAGATTCGAGGCTTCCAACCGTCTCCCTTTGAGCGGGTAGAGCTAGCTGCCTTCGGGTGGACGAAGTCGGGAGGCGGAACGACGCCCACCACCACGAGTCGACGAACGTGGGCAAAAAGTCCAGAGATCTGTAGCACTGCGTGACATCCTGTTCCAAGTACCCGGGGTACTTGTCGAGGCCGGTGACCGCGAACTTGACGGTCCTCGCCAAGACGGCACTGGCCACGGAGCGGTATTTTTTGTTCGTCAAGGAGAAGTTGGCAAGACTCTTAATGAACCCGCTTTCGTAAACAAACTCGCATATTGTAAGGAGCTCTTCTGTGGCGAGCGAATCGAGTGACGCTTTTGGCAGCGGCATGTTGTCACCTTCAATGAGAGGTTGCTGTTTTGTGGATGTGCTTTGTGGAGGTTTAGCGTCATGTCACTGAATGGATCAATCGTCGCGTCATGTTACATTCACGCGTTAAAGTGGTGTTCCTTGTGGTGGCCACTGTTAACCGATGGTTTTTTAGGGTATACTTGCAACTAGCGTCACTCTTTGCTGCATCAAGACACTTAGAAGAATGAAAGATCATCGATTGAGCCACTTTACCTAGCCCGCGATATGACGCAGATGCCCACTATTTTCAGGCCTAGACGCTGATTGGATATATCACAAGGGATCAGCAATCAACCTCTAGTTTCCTCCTCATAGTCTGATTAGCCAGAAACTTTCCTTGAATGTTACTTTGAAAACAAGTGTCGATATTTCCAAGTATCCCAGCGACTGCTGAATAATACTGGTTTCCATATATCGCCACAATTTCTCCAAATGCCGTCTTGACGACTTTTCTAACTAGCCTAAACCATCGATCAGTCATAACAACTATCGACTACCTTAACTAAGATACCTTGATAAACCGTACGTCTATACACTGGTGTCAATCAGTGGTCGATGGGATAATTCAGACTTTACCTAGCGTATATGCACACACTGCAGTAGTAGACGAGACGTCATGGCCAAGTTTCCCCATTCGCGAACTCGCCTGGCAAGGGCTTGTTGCAGTTGAAATCGTTGAGGCCCAAGAAGACGCTGTTCGTCGATTTTAGTACTTGGAAGTGTAATTGATGAGAATGTCTACACTCAGCAGCAGTGTGCGAGGAAAACGGATAACGAGCTTAACTCGTCTCTCGGTCGGAGTTTCTTTCTCGAAATGCAATGCATACTAGTTTCGCCAGCCACAAACGATCCAGGAAGAGTAATATTCCTCGAGAGCCGAGCGAAGGAATGCATTCCATGTTGTATCGCGTGGGAATCCCGATTCTTTGGTCAAGAACGCCATTTGGTTGTTTTATCGTCGTCGATAGAAGCCAGCCGGAAATTCAAAGTCAACGCCTTTCCGTGCCTTCCATGACTCACGTTAGTAGTAGGACCAGCCTGAATCAATGATGCCATTGAGAAACGTAGCCAAGCCGGCGATCGACTTCCCGACGAGCCCAGCAATGTGATTATGGAACAAGAGTTCGGCAAGGAGCTCGACACCGAGTGTAGTCGTGATTGAGCTGAGCCCCACTGTGCTCGCGATTAGAACGACCGAGCAGTCTGTCTCGGTGCCGCGGGCCACGGGGGCTTGCTATGCGATCACGGTGACAGCCGATCACGTAGGCGAAGGATCCAGCCCACTGCACCCCTTCGGTGAGCCGTTGGGCAGAGATTCTGCTGCGATGATGGGCAGAGATTGTTTTGGAAGTCGCGCAATTCTTAGAGACAGAGCCTCCCTCCCAAACTCGGAATCGGAGATAGGGTGAGTGAGTCTGGCTTCGGGCCCACGACCAACCAGAGCACGCCGTTGAAAGATCTAAGACTGGGTTCAGGTGGGAGGGCACGCGAAATCTGAGTTAGTGGAGAGCTGATTCGAAGACATATTTGTAGCAGGCGAATTCCTAGGAGAATTATCAGAGACGGGTCTGGACACAGAGATTAGACGGGGCAACAGATGTTCCGTGGGATTATTGTTTCGAGATGTCTTCATAGTGATGCATAATCAGAGAGGGTTACATTGTTTTTCCGCAGTAGCAATCCCACCGGCGTTGGCGAGCTATTTGGATCTTCTTCAGCCAGCCATCAAATGACGGGATGCTACCCAAAAGGGAGGGAGGAAATGGTTCACCATACCCGCTTAACAACCTCAGCCTGGGCCTTTTGGCTGCGGCCGTGAGTTGTGATCTTGGAAGTGTCCTACTGCAGGCCGTGCAGCCATGCTCGTGTCGGTAGGCGTGGCGATCGTGTGGGCTATGCACGTAAGCCGGCGGCCTGTCACTGTTGTCACCATCGTGTTTCTGCGATCTGACACAGACCAGAGCTTTTTCGGCGATGATAGACGGGGGAGAGGGAGAAGCGAAGGCTCAGCGCGACCCTCGCAACCTCGCTCCCGGGATGCCGTGCAGACCGCCCCGAATGAGACCCCCGAAGCCGTTCAGAGCTTAGCTCGAACACAGGGACCCATACCATGTCTTGCGCGGAGAGACGGAGATGACGGCGTCAATCCATCCCTCTTTTTCGAAATCAGATCAAGACAGTGCCCTCTATGAGCTGAGTGAAATTACTTGTGATAGGCCCAGCAGGAGGGTCAGTCTGGAATTCAGCCGCCGTTTTTGTTGTGGAGGAGCATGCTTGAACCCACAGACTTGGCTCATCTTCTGGAGTGGCCGAACATTCAGCTCTCGGCACGAGGATTCGGAGCGTCTTCCATACGGAGTGCGAGATTTGAGGCTTAGATCAGGCGTTTCTGGAATGCGTGCTTGAGAGAAAACGGAACTTCAGCTCTCCCAAAGATTTAAGCATGAAGATGCATGGAATCTGCCAAGTCGACTGAGCACGAATTGGCGATTGGGGGTTGCATCTGCCGCAAACACATAAGGCTTAGCAACATTGACTGGCACGTCATTTACCACCCGACCGGTTCTACGATTTGACCCTACAACTCGTCTGTGATTATCTAGGGAGGAGGCTCAAGCCACTGCTCCTCTCACCATTCTCTCGATATCTCAGCTATTTCGAGACGAGACTCACATAACGCCATCGAAAAGCCTGTGGCGCCCGTCTCCTCCGAAGACACACACAATGCAGGGCTTCTGAAGACTTCACACACGTTCATCAAATGTGACTCTCACGTGCAGGGCGGGACTGTTCCTCCCGGATCGACATGGCGACCCACGGGCGACATGCTTTCTTTTTGGTGATTTCCCATATGCAACCTGCGTGCTTCCAGACCAAGTTTTCCTTTTTCGGCCAATAAGCTGCATGGGATACGGCCACAAACCTGAGTCTCCACGGCTGAGAAGTTTCTCCCTTTCCCACACACACCTGTTTTTTCCCTCTCTCACTATTCCTTCCAACGCATTGTCCCTGCCAAGATGGCTCCGCGGTGCTATGAGCCGATGACTGCATCTCAGACAACACCGTCAACGACAACCCTTGCAGGCTGCAGCCAGAGAGACGGGTTCCTTGCAGCACTGTCAACCTGAAGCAGCGCCTAGCATACTAGTTGGCGTGGTTTAGGCGAGTGCCTTGGCTACCTCGCAGGTTCCCGCATGTTCCAAGGGCAACATTCCCCCCACTCTCGCAAGAGTATGCTTATCTGACTTTGGGCCGCCTCCACTTCTCCCACTCCGATGCTCTGATGAGCCAGCAGAGGCTGAATGAACGGGTTTCTGCGTAGCGGCGATTTCCATCCGCACGCAAGGTAGAGGCAGCACGCTGGAGCTAGTCAAGCCATATTCGCTAGCGTCCGCAAGCCTGGTCTCGTAAGGCCTGGAGAGCCGGCTCGGGGACACAGGGATGCGATTTCTTATGTCTTGATGGGTCATAGAGAAAAGCAACTGTTCATGGTGTTGAGTTCTTACCACTGCACTACCTCATGGCAATATGGGTGAAGCAATCGCGAGATGAATCCAAGGGAACAAGGAGTCTGAGACCCGGAAAGACGCCATGTTGTTGGCGGACGTGGTGGCCGATGTTCGCCCCCATCCCTTGGGAATGGAAGACGCCTTCCGGTCCTTGATTTGGGCGTTGCTTCTCGCGATGTCTACTGTATTCCGGCTGGTATATATCCTTGGGTTTTCTCGCGGTCTTTCCTGGATTGTTTTCCTCTCCATCCTCATCAGCGCAGTCATCTCCTGCATCTCCTTCTTTCGACAAGCTCCAGTCAACCCATTCCTTCGTTTCAACCCGAAGCTTCAAGGGCTCCAGTCTTTAGAGGACCTCCAGTTGCAGCAGCCATGAAGACAACTACCGCCGCCGTGTTGGCCTCCCTTTTCGGGATGGGCGCTGCCCAGTGTGCCAGGGACAACTGTCTGCGAGGTATGTGTTCATCCCATCTCACCCATGCTTCCCACGCGTCCCATCCCGGGAGATCTCGTCTATAGGATCGCCAGCTAACACTCCACTCTCCAGCCATCGCGGCCAGTGCTTTCCCGACCCGAAGCGGTACTGCGGACTGCTCTCGCTTCCTGCAGGTTACCGCCACTGCCAGTGCCGTGTAAGCTTTCACACCCCTGAGCCACATCACTCTTTCTCTGACACGATCTTCTCCAGGACCGCGACCGTGACCGTGACCGCCCCCACCTCCGGTGTCTTCACTTCAACCTTGACCGTGAGTGAGTCCGGCGCCGCCGGCTCCGTGGGCACCAGCACCGTCCTCGAGACCACGACCTCCACCGCCACCATCACCGATGTCATCGGAACCACCGAGGTCGTCACTGCTTCCACCGAGACCGTCATTGTTCCCACCACCGTTGTCGTTTCTTCCACCAGGACTCTTTTCTTCGGCACCACCGAGATCGTCACCGTTGCTACCGAGACGCAGACCGTCGATGCCACCATTGCCGTCATCAAGAAGCGCCAGGTCGCCACCAACATCCCGACCTACGCTTCCGCCTGCAGTGGCTTCGCTCGCTACTCTTCGGCCTGCTCTTGCCTCGGCGTCACGGCGCCCACGAACACCGTGGCTCCCGCTACCGTGACCACGACCACGACCGTCCCGGCCACTGTTATCTCCACTGCTGTTGTCACCGTCACCGTCACCGGCGACGCTGCCCCCGGCTCCACCGTCCTGACCACCAGCACCGTCACCGAGACCGAGCTCGCGGCCACCACGGTCACCTCCGCCGAGACCACCTCCGTGACCGCTACGACTGAGATTGGCAGCACTTCCACGGACTTGATCGAGGAGACCACTTCGCTGACCAGCACGTTCATTTTCAACGCTACCTTCACCACCTTCATTACCCGCACCACTTCTCTGCCGCCTATCGTGAACAGCACCACGACTACTGGCATCAGCTCTACTGCGGACATTAGCTCTTCCATCTTCTCCA